ACAAGACATAGAGACTACCAGACGGAATATTGTTGACAAACTCAGACAGAAACAGGCCAACGACTTGACGTATCATAACAAAAAGAAACGACCAGTTAAGGATTATATTCCCGGACAATTAATTTATGTAAGCAACAACAAAAGGTTAGGAACGAAACTAAGCGACCGTTACAAAGAGGAAATAGTTAAGGAAAACCGGAATACCACCGTTTTGACCGAAAGCGGAAGGGTGATTCACAAAAGCCATATTAGAAATTAATAAAATCCTAAATTTTACAGATTGTTTCCTGGAAACACCCTGGCTGACTTCAGCATCCTCGACTACTCGAACGCGAGACTCATTTCAATTCATAATGGAATAGCAAGGAAACAGAACGGGACATTTAAAGTAATTCATTCAATAGATCTTGAACAGTATGAAAACCTCACTCGTGAAACCGAACACATTCTAGACAAATTCGTGAACCTAGACCATCCTCTCCGTCCATTTATGAAGCAACAATTAATTGACATCAATGGACTATTAGACCGTCTGATGCCGCACAGAGAGAAAAGATCGATAGACTTCATAGGAAGTGCTTGGAAGTGGATTGCAGGCAGTCCAGATAGTCATGATTTTCAGATCCTAGAACAGAAAATTGGCAATATTTTGGAAAATAACAATAGACAGCTGATAATAAACCAATTAATTTCGGAAAGAATAACCGAAATAACTAATAAGACGAATGAAATAATAAAAAGGGAAGGGTGGAACGATGAAGTAGTATTCAAAATCGAAAGAAAACTTAATTTTATTGAAAAAGAGTTACAAAACGTAGAGTTTGCAATACAGTGGGCTAAAGCTAATATCGTCAATTCATTTCTGCTTTCTAAAATCGAAATCGATCAAATAAACACTGTTTTTGAAAAATATAATATTCCTACTTATTCGATAGATGAACTATTAACTTTTGGATCCGTAAAAATTGTTACAAATAAACGAGAAATTTTGTACATCCTTAGTATCCCTGTAACTCAAGAAGAAGTTTGTAAAGTATATTTCATAAAACCTATAAAAACTGGAGATGTAATTGATAAAATTGAATACGAAAAAATTTTGGAATGTAATAAAGAATTATTTGGAATAAAAACAGAATGTAAAAGTAATTACGACATAACAATTTGTAATAGAGATAAGCTTATTTCATTAAGAAATGATAATTGTATAACTAATTTGTTCAAAAGTAGAGTAGGGAAATGCACCCAAATAAACAACGAACACATACCAACAATTGAAGAGATCGGATCGGACTTGCTCTTGCTGAACCAATATCAAGGCGCTATCAGTGTAGACAACGAGCAGATTTTTTTAAACGGGACTTATCTCATCAAACATTTCAACGTCACTATAAGAATCGATGGCCACAGTTACAGTTCAAGAGGAATAAGTGCCAATAAACCTCTTCCCGCCTTTTTGCAACCAAAAGGTCCAAAAGACAAATTAGAAGAAGTAATATCATTGGAGCTGCTTAAACAGTTGAACGTAAAGAACATCGAACGAATACGATCTATGGAAACCAAAGGTACCTTAGCAGTCGGCATCGGTTGTGTTTCTGCAATAATCCTTACAACTATAACAATAATATCACTGAGAAGAAAATATGCAAAAAACTCCGAAAATAATAATCTGAAAATCGAAGATGCCCCAGGAGATGAAATAGAGATTGCGGAAGTAAATTTACCTACAACTTCGAAAGAAACTAAAACATCCAGCATTTACAATATTCATTCATTTTGAACAATCGGGACGATTGTATTTAAGAGGGGAGGAGTTAACACCAGACATATTCAAATTCAACATTAGCAACCCAAAGAATTCATCAACCAAAGTATAAGCGTGTCATTTTGCTGACACTGCAGTTCCCACCGAAACACTGACAACAACATCCAACAGGCAGACAGCAACATTCCATCGCCAACACGAGCAGGTGTCCAGTATCATCTGGGTGCATGAATCCAAAGTATAAGTTAGGGTAGTTTTATTTCATTATTCACTTTGTAGTCCGGAACCTTAACCAATAAAGACGTGATTGCTTGCAGTAAGCAGCAATCACAAATTTTTAAAAAAATAAATAAATTAACATTGAATTAATTTATATACATTGGTATAATTCTTTTACAAATTATACTCACCAATAATTAGGTTATTAAGCTCTAAACTGTACCTGAGCGTTCGATTTACTTAGAATCGCATTTCAAATCTGTGATACAATTTATACAAATTACATTTTAGTAATAGTCATTTAAATAATCTCCATAGACTACTATGATCCCTGTTAGTCAATTACTTAACAGAACTTTGTTTGTTATTTAGTTCTTATGTTTGCTTTTATACCTTTATTTATTTACAGACATTCTCGCTCTGTTCGTAACATTTGAGGCCGTGAGCAAGCCTCTCTCATAATTTCAATCTGTTTTCACTTTAAACATTCTGCCTTTTCATTCAAGCAATGTAGCATAATCATATATGTCACGATTAAGTTAGAACAAGACAACAATAGTTCTAAGGGTATACTGTTAACCATTCGTATTGTAAACCTATCAAAGAAAGAAGAAGACTCAAATAAAGAATTACTTACTTATGTGGCGTTTCCACTGCACTTGATTCGCTCTCTATTCGTTGTTTGACCCTTAACCATGGCAGAAGAATACAGGTAGATGCATCAACGCTTGGGAGCATTGATATGTCAAAAAAATTTAAATGTTTTTTCAAATATAAGTAGATTTTTATATGTTTTCTTATACTACGTCATTCGGAGGCTATCATAATTCGCGTTTTTCAACAGTTTTTACAAATTTAAATAATTTTTCATTCAACATTTTCAATTCTAAAATTGGTTTGACAGTTCATTGTCCCAGCAGCTGTGTCGACGCGTCTACCTATATTCTTCTACCATGCCCTTAACTATGAAAAAACTACTTAATTCTTCACACAAAATTTCCTGAGCGAACACTCATATTTGTACATAGTTCAAATCAAATCACTCTCAGAACAACGAAAATGTATGTCCCATCCCTAAAAAATGAGAGCATTTATCGAAAAAATAAATTATGACATTTAAAAATTAAAACTAAAAAACTTTAATGAAATTTTAAAAATTTTTGGGAAGACTGAAAATTATGAATGAAAACTACAATGTTGAATGGCGTATGTACATTCAAACGAAAGTACATTTTGTTTTCTCTTTCATTAGAGGTACGCATTTTGTCCACGAGTTGAAATTTCCATAGAAAACTGCAAACAAAAGAGGCAATATTTTCAAAATGTTTGTATCGGCAGAAAAAAATGTTGACAAGTGTCTCTCCAGTAAAATTTAAAAATAGAAAAATACAAAAATATGTTCAAAATGTCAAAATTAATACAAAAAGTTGAAAACATGAATGAAAACTGTAAAATTAATGATATAATTATTCTTTGGAAGAAAAACAATAATTTCTTCTATTCATATCAGTGAGAATTTCATGTATTTTTGTATAAATTCCCATTCAAATCAACAAACAAAATTTTTGAAAAAATGAATTATTTTACTATGAATTACGAATCGTGCCGTATGAACGGGTTAATTCGTGTACCTAATTCTGAGAGCGAACAACGTTGTTCGGTTTTCAATGGAAACATGCTATTACTTACCCTAAAAATAGGAAATGCCGATTTTCCGATTTTTGACTCAAAAATGACGATATTTTAATGATCGACACAAATTGTCTCAAATTTTAACTTAAAGCAGCATTAAACGTTGCCAAATTATTCTTGATCATCTGAACGAAATAAATAAAACATACCTGTCTTTTTTGAAGTATATTCTCAATGTTATTAATAGCACGTACAAATTATTAAAAAAACCAACCGAAATTCATTTACTTAACCAAATGGAGGACTTTATAAGAGATAATATTCATTAAATTGATTTTATAGACATCGACATTTTTTAGAATATTTTGAAGTATATTTTGGTTTATGGAGTTTCCTGAACAAAACTTCATAAATATTTAATGAACTTGCAAATCTAATATTGAGACTCTTTAATTTTAATTCAAATTAATTTAAATGTTTAAAAATTACTGACCCTGAAAGAGTAACATACATGGTAGGATAAGGAGGTAAAGTCATGTAATCATGTGTTTACAATTTAAAAAAAAAAATATTCGTTTGAGAACATCTCATTGTAAAAAAAAAATTGTATTTATAAATCCATCTATTCAGAGATGGGAGCCTATTATCTATGCAGCGAAATTTGACAAGGTAAATTACAGAAATGGCAAAGATGGGAATGTTTATTTGAAATTACTATACCTTCTTAATTTTACCATAGCAACATAGAAAGATAATAATTTTTTGTTAAACCTATTTTTTTTAATTTACCCACTTTTATTTTCTAAAAAGAGGGACAATATTTGAAACCTGAGTTCAGGGACAATATCTTACTCAAAATATGTAATAAAAATATGTACTAATTGTAACTTAATTAGAGTTCAGTAGAAACCAGTAAGGAAAAGTCAAAAGTTGGGCGGGCCGACTATATGATACCGTACACCACTATGCATATTGAGTAGAGCTCAACAACATTTGGCTTTAGAGCAGTTATAGTTGGGTTACAGAGAAAACTAATATATGGGAGGCATTTCCAATTCTGAATCGATTTTCACTAAATTTGACGGAGACAGTTTAATCTGTCATATCCAACAACATTGCTATAGAGTGCATGATATCAATTCGAGAAGAATTGTGTTAAAGAAATATATATATATCAGAGACGAGTTCGACAAAATGGAAACGTACGTTCCGAAATTCACTCGATTTGGGCTTATATTTGTCATTATTTGCACAATAAACCTGAACTCGGATTAAGGACATGTATATGAGGTGTATGCAAATATTAGCCGTTCAAAAAACGCCGTAATGGGAACAAATACAACTGTTGAAATATTATAATATGTAAATAGTCATTAAAATCTAAAAATTATTTTATAATTTATTTTATTTTTGCAAACATAAACAAAATCACAATTTTTATTTTGAAAAGGTACATTTTATGGGAAAAATCCATTCGGCGTTAGTACGAGGCTGGAGTTTCCGCTTTTTAAAAGTCCTCGAAGAAGTGCCAAGTCATCGGGAGATAGAGCCCATCCGCTCAGTTGTCCCACAGATTGCAGTTCGGGGCACTCGTTCATTAACACCTATTAAAAAGATATTTGCTATTAATAATTTCCGAGGGCAATAAGTAAAGTTAGTATTTCTGTATTACAAGTGGTTAAATAATTTAATCGTTATATTTTCGAATCATCCACTCGAAGATGTTTCTGAGTACATAAATAGTAGCAAGAACTTGCTTGTTAGCTAATCGTGAATAATATTAGATACTAAGTTGTTGAGTTCTAACTCTATCCATTTGCCTACGATTTCAAAAAACACCTGTGGTACATGGTGGTTATATTAATGTGGCGTAAGTCATCGGTTGACTTTTTCGTAAGAGATTAAACCTATGGTAGAATTATGTTTACACGTTTTTTACAATTATACCTCTGAGAACATCTCATGTATATTCATAAATCCTTTGTATATTCACAAATCAGGGATGGGAACCGGGTTTCAATTAAGTTAAATTTGAAATTGTAATTTACATCACGCTAATTACAAAAATGCAAATCTTGGTATTAATATTTGAAATAAGGTAATTATTATAGTTAGCAGCAAATCCCAGCTGATTTGGCTAATAATATAAATATTTTCTCTGGTTTTTCGACCTTTTTCGATAGTTAATAAAAACAATTATTTGAGCTTGAGGTCAAACTTTTTGGTTTTTTAATTATTTATTTTTCTTTTTCCAATATTTCGAAGCTCTTTGAGTTTCATCTTCAGGGTGATCTACAAATTAAATAACAAAACATACAACATATTAACATTATCACAGCACAGGACATAAACATGTAAAGAAACGCTTACTTGCAAATAATTAAAATAATAAACTTAAAACTAGCGTAGTGTGACTACTACCGTCAAGTGTTACTATTGCACTGATAATTATTTGCATATTGCACGATCTCTTTTTGTTAAATGCCTGTAGCAGTAAGCTGTGTTGTCCGTGTCTGCTTTGCTGTTTATTCTCTTTGTTGTTGATAAACTATTGATGTGAAGCATCTCTATCGTTAGTCTCTTGTTGTAGTGATGTTCCGTTTGTAACACTCTCACGTCATCGATCTTGGGTGTATGGTTGTACTGTTTACAGTGTTCGGCTAACGCTGTTTTTTGTATCGAATTATTGTTTCTTAATTTGATGTCTGATTTGTGTGCTGACATCCTAGTTTTTAGTTTGTTTTTTGTTGTGCCAACGTAATGTTTTCCGCAACTTTCTTCCTTGTTACCACCACATTCAATTTTGTAAACTACATTATGTTTGTCCATTTTTGGTATTTTACTTTTCATGTTTGTGAATAAAGATTTTGTTGTGTTATGTGAGCTATGTGCTATTGTGTATTTATTTTTGTCATATATTTCTGACTTTTCCAATCTTTCTGATATATTCGGTAAATATATCAGGGATTTGTATATCTTCGGCGGGTCTGTTTTCTGCGAATCTCGACTTGAATGTTTATTCTTATAATAATTTTCAATTAGGGATTTGGTTATATATAATGGGAAGTTATTATTAATTAGAATGTCTTTTATTTTTAATTTGTTTTGGAAATGAAATTGTTCGTCGCTTATTGTTAGTACTCTATTTATTAAGTTTTTCGCTGTATTGATAATTGTTCGTTTTGTGTGTTTAGAGTAGTAATTTATTATTCTACCTGACGCTGTAGGTTTTTGATACCAATTTATATTTATCGTATTATCTGCATTTCTTATTACTAATGTGTCCAAATATGGGATTTTTCCGTCGCATTCTTCTTCCAAAGTAAATTTAATGTTTTTGTTGAAACTATTTAGTACTGTCAGCGTTTCTTGTATTGCATCTTCCCTTATAATTAAAAACAAATCATCCACGTATTTCGTCAGTATCTTTGGTTTTGATTGTAATCTTTGCAAGCTTTCGTTGAGCAGTGATTCCATAACCAAATCTGCAATTATGGGTGATGCTGGAGATCCCATCGGTAGCCCTGCTTTTTGTTTGTATATTTTGTCATCAAACTTGAAGTATCTGTTGTCCTTTATGCAAAATTTTACAATATTCAGAAACATGTCTTTGGTTATGTTTGTATATTGTTCTATTTCTTCCCATCTTTCTTCAATTATATTTAGTCCTAATTCTACTGGAATACTTGGGAACAGTGAGACCACGTCGAATGAAACCATTTTTTCATTATTATTAACTGTCAGGTTCTTTATCTTATCCCTAAATTGCACAGAATCCCTTACGTTGTAAACTGATTTTGTCGTCAAATTATTTAATATGTTTACTATGTATTTGCACAGTTTTATTGACGGGGAATTTATAGACGAACATATGGGTCTTAATGGATAGCCGTCTTTGTGGATCTTTGGCAAGCCATATATTCTTGGGGCAATCGCAATTTCTGTTTTGAGTCTTTTCTTCTCTATTGTCGAAATTATATTATTTTTGAAAAGTTCTTCAACGATATCATTATTTTTCTTTTGAAGGTTTGACGTAGGGTCCTTATTGATACGTTGATACGTCATCATGTCTGAGAGCAGATTGGACATTCTTTCTTTGTAATCATTTTTGTTCATGGCTACAGTCACGTTGCCTTTGTCTGCATTTAGTATTATTATGTCTTTATTTTGGTTAAGAAATTTTCGGGTTCGTTCCACTGTGCCTATCATGTATTTGTCTCTATTGCTCTCTCTGCTTCTATTCATATGTGTTTCCAGCATATTTGTTAATTTTGTTCTTCCCATTTCTTGTTGTTCTTTGTCATTGTTTGTTTGTATGAGATCTTCCGCGTCCGCAATATATTTGAATAAAGGGAAATGTGTTCTTCTTGTTGGTAAGCAGTGTTTGTCTCCTAAGGAGAGTAACCATTTTATGTCATCTGGGAAAGTTTTGTTCGTTTTGTTGACAAACCAATTATCGTTGTGCTTTATGTTGAGTTCCTTAGTCAGTTCTTCTTCTTCTTCTTCAAGAGACTAACGATAGAGATGCTTCACATCAATAGTTTATCAACAACAAAGAGAATAAACAGCAAAGCAGAGACGGACAACACAGCTTACTGCTACAGGCATTTAACAAAAAGAGATCGTGCAATATGCAAATAATTATCAGTGCAATAGTAACACTTGACGGTAGTAGTCACACTACGCTAGTTTTAAGTTTATTATTTTAATTATTTGCAAGTAAGCGTTTCTTTACATGTTTATGTCCTGTGCTGTGATAATGTTAATATGTTGTATGTTTTGTTATTTAATTTGTAGATCACCCTGAAGATGAAACTCAAAGAGCTTCGAAATATTGGAAAAAGAAAAATAAATAATTAAAAAACCAAAAAGTTTGACCTCAAGCTCAAATAATTGTTTTTATTAATAATATAAATATTCGCTGTTACACTTAACAAATCGCTAAGGGCGATGGTGCGAAAACTTTTTTCGTTTTCAGTTGAAAATATGTCCAAAATCTTCACTAACCAAAAAAAGTAATGGTATTATTTCGTCAGACTACTTTTCTGATTCTATGGTGGTGACTAAGGCCAAACACCACTAAGAAAATGGACAAGAACGATAAACATTATAAAGAAAGAAAATTAAATAGACATACATCCAGTTTAAAATCTAATTCTTATTTTACAATTTTTTCGTTAACAAAATTAGATTTAATGTTAACTTATTTAAAATTAATTCAAAGGTATTAAACATATATTTTTATTTTATATAAATTCTTATTAAATAGTTTTAATAATGAAACTTGTAATCGTTACGGTCGTTGCTAAAACAAGTTTTCCAAAACAGTTGTATAATCTTGCTCTTCTGAAAATAAAACTCTGCTTAAATTAAAATCTGATTTTTAATATGTATTATACAAACGATACTATTGTCTGATCATAAAGTAGTAGACAATTATTATTTTTACTAAGAATTCATATCGCATTCATAAAAGCGGGTAGCGTTGGTTTCCCTACTTATTATGTGAATGCCCGTTTTCACTGATAACTGTATCAGTTTGTAGCTAATTTTTGAAAGAACACATTTGTATGACACACTATTAAACGTCCTCATTTATTGGTCAATGCGTGTTATGAAGATGGGTTTGAGTCTGACCGACATGACGAGGCATCGAACATTTGGTTGGATGTCACGTATTGTTATGCGTTTGATCAAACAGGGCATAACACGACGAACGTTTTTTAGCCGTGGTAAAAATAGAGAAATATGTCGCATTTGCAGGCCTTTAATACAAACATTCAAACATTTCTAGAAATGTCAGTTATTTTTTTTAGTGATTCAAAAATATGTACATTTGTATTTGTTTTCCCATACAATGCCGATCGGAAGTTTTTATGATATGAATTTTTAACAACTTTTACAAATTTGAATAATTTTTCATTCAAAAAATTGTCCCAGCAGCAGTGTCGATGCAACTGCATGTATTCTTCTACCATGGCTACAACTTTAAATCAATGATTTTTGTACGTTAAAAATCACTACATCTGGCGGGAAAACCATACACTTGACATCCCTGAACGTATTTTGGGAAGATTAAAAATACACTTATACATGGCTCAATAAGAAAGGTTGCTCATCTTCAAATAAACTAGAAAAATGCAACTCTGTGCTGGAGACTTATAGTGTTAAATAGACTTTTAAATATGCAATAGTTGGCTTGCTGTTGTTTTAATTTTTTTTTACAAAATTCTTATATTGGGAAAAACCCGCGAAATAAGAAAAGAATTTCGGGGTTATTCCACAAGATGAAATTTAAAATAGTAGGACAATAGCGTTTTATAACAAAATTTTAAAATTTGTTGCCATTTATGTCGAAAATTTGCATTTATTTTGCAACCAAATTTGAAATAATTTCAAATTATATTATTTTTTATTCAAAACAATACACACACATACGCAAAATGTGTATATATTTTGACAGAATAAGGGCACTAAAAGAAAAAATTGAATTTGGGGGGTAGCTTTGTTCTACCTTCTGTAATCTACGTCGGGCAGGCCTGTAAAAATTGTTGCAAAGTTCTACTTGTCTTTCGGTACATACCTAACCTGTAGGGCTATTCTGTATCTTTTTAACAACTCTCCTCATTGTTTCTTTTTTCCAAAAACTTCATGTGTTTGTTAAGTTTTTGTTACAACAACAGAAGGAATTTTAACAACTTTTCTTGGTTATTCCACAAGAAGGAATTTAAAATAGTAGGACAATACCGTTTTATGACAAAATTTTAAATTTTGTTACCATTTACGTCGAAAATTTGCATTCATTTTGCAACCAAATTTGAAATAATTTCAAATTATTTTATTTTTTACTCAAAACAATACACACACATACGCAAAATATGTATATATTTTGACAGAATAAGGGCACCAAAAGAAAAAATTGTATTTGGGGGGTAGCTTTGTTCTATCTTCTGTAATCTACGTCGGGCAGGCCTGTAAAAATTGTTGCAAACTTTTACTTGTCTTAGGTACATACCTAACCTGTAGGGCTATTCTGTATCTTTTTAACAACTCTCCTCATTGTTTCTTTTATCCAAAATCTTCATGTGTTTGTTAAGTTTTTGTTACAACAACAGAAGGAATTTTAACAACTTTTCTTGGTTATTCCACAAGATGGAATTTAAAATAGTAGGACAATACCGTTTTATGACAAAATTTTAAATTTTGTTACCATTTACGTCGAAAATTTGCATTCATTTTGCAACCAAATTTGAAATAATTTCAAATTATTTTATTTTTTATTCAAAACAATACACACACATACGCAAAATGTGTATATATTTTGACAGAATAAGGGCACCAAAAGAAAAAATTGTATTTGGGGGGTAGCTTTGTTCTACCTTCTGTAATCTACGTCGGGCAGGCCTGTAAAAATTATTGCAAACTTTTACTTGTCTTAGGTACATACCTAACCTGTAGGGCTATTCTGTATATTTTTAACAACTCTCCTCATTGTTTCTTTTATCCAAAAACTTCATGTGTTTGTTAAGTTTTTGCTACAACAAAAAAGGGCTATTCGGTATCTTTTAAACAACTCTCCTCATTGTTTTTTATCCAAAAACTTCATGTGTTTGTTAAGTTTTTGTTACAACAACAGAAGGAATTTTAACAACTTTTCTTGGTTATTCCACAAGATGGAATTTAAAATAGTAGGACAATACCGTTTTATGACAAAATTTTAAATTTTGTTACCATTTACGTCGACAATTTGCATTCATTTTGCAACCAAATTTGAAATAATTTCAAATTATTTTATTTTTTATTCAAAACAATACACACACATACGCAAAATGTGTACATATTTTGACAAATGAGGGCACCAAAGCTTTGAGGGTAGCTTTGTTCTACCTTCTGTAATCTACGTCGGGCAGGCCTGTAAAAATTGTGGCAAAGTTTTACTTGTCTTAGGTACATACCTAACCTATAAGGCTACTCTCCTCACTTTTCTTTTTCCCAAAAACTTCATGTGTTTGTTAAGTCTTTGTTACAATAACAGAAGGAATTTTAA